CAGATCTTATAATTGTATATATTGTCTCAGTGTTTTTATCCTCTCTGCACAGGCATCCTTTACTGTGCGTGTCACAAGGTTTTTAGTGACTTACATTCAAAATTTAACTAAACCACTTTGTTTGTTATACCAATTAGTATAGTACAAAATTATAGCTAATAATTCATATTTTAATAGCATATAAGTTTTAAGTTCTTAAATCTATAAGGCAATATTGAAATAATCCTGAGTTTCCCCTAGTGTGAAAAATAAGAAATTTTGTGTAGATAAGTATACGGAATCTAACATAAATTACTCACTATAAAATCGTCGTTGCTCAGACAAACCATAGTTTTTATAGCCTTCAATCCTGTTTGGTTAGAGAGCCATCGAATAGAAAATCAGACCTTTCTTGCCACACTCACCTGTCACATCCTCTCTTTCAGGATTTGTTAATAGTTCTTCCTTACGTTTAATACTATATTATTTATAACTAATAGAAAGTCAAGGTTTTCATCTATCAAATGATGTATTATATTACATTGTTTTCTGAACAGAGAATTTTCACTTTCTCTTTTAGTACAAGCTTTGTCCCCATGGGAAACATATCAACTAGCTTGGATAAATTTGTAACGGTTCTTGTCGCATAGTTAGAAAGCCAGAAAAATTGTGATAGTTATGGGACATTGCCTGCATTTTGCATGTTATTATTTTATATTCTTTGGTGCATTATTTAATTAATTAAAAATCATTTAGTACATTACTACCATTAGTATATAAAAAAAAAAAGTAGGGTTAAGTGTCAACAGCAAAAAAAAAGAAGACCTGGGTAAGTATTTTATTTTTTGTTTTTTGTGTATTCTTTATTTATTATTATAAGTAACTAAAATTTAAAATTGGGATCTCTTTACATTAGTTAAGGTTAGATTAAGTAAAATAAATAGTAATAATATAATAATGTTTCACGAGGCACAATGTTTCAAGCATGCAAGCATCTTGGAGTAGATCGTGGGTAAAGCAATTCAATAGCATAACGTGAGCTGATTGATTTATAACTTATGATAATGCGAATAGTAGTTAGACACAGTTCAAAGGACAATAAAACAATAAAATTTAAGTATAAATAGATGTATACTGTTATGAGTTTAAAGTTACTTAGGATAAACAAATGTAGTTCCATATTACAATTTGAAGTCAAATTGACCAACCTTGTATAGTTAGGGTAGAGAAAAAACCAGATAAAATATGAAATTTCACTTAAAACATTTCATATGTATTAAGGAGGTTTTAGAGATTATGCAAATGTAATTTGAGATTTTTGAGATGAAGAAATGTGTTTTTAATGCTTAACATGAAAATTGCTTTGTACTTATACTAGTAAAAAAAAAAAACGACAATATATTCATGAACAAATTATTTTTGATTTATTAAAATACTTCTGATTTTTTGTATGTGAAAGACTTATGTTTACTGAAAGTCTGCCAAATTTTCTGAAGATTTACATACTATATTAAAAGTTGGTAGTATCAAAACTATGACTAAACGAGTACAAAGTGGTCAGGTGGTTGGTCAGTTCAACTGAAACTGTGTAGAGAGTAAGTGCTGAATTACCAGATTATATAATCATTAAGTACAGTAGTGTTTAACTCTTTCAGTACAGGCTTGGTCCCTGGGACCTACCTCATAACCATTTTGTACTTGTTACAGTTTTCATGCTATAATTTTTAAATTAGTAAGCAAATGTTCACAAAATTTTGCAGATTATCAGTAAACATTACAAGGCTTTCATCAGATTTTTTTTATTAAGTCTTAAGGTTTATTAGCAATGTTTTTCTCATGCCTTTTTTCCTTTTGCATTTTGCCTATCCAACACACAAAGTATTTTACATTTTAAGATTAAAAATACTTTTATGGATCAGAAAATTTTCAAATTTCACATACAAAATCTTTATAATGTTTCTTAAAAAAATCCTTATATTTTATCTGTTATTTTCACTAACAAATCTCTGTATGGGTTTGGTTGATTTGACTGATCTCATAACCAACATAAAAAATTAGGAAATAAATATAAATTATGCCTTTTTCAATCTATAATGACTACAAATTATAACACAAAAAACAAATGTTTAGACTAAGTAGCTTAAATCTCATAACATTATACATTTATGTATATATTTATTATTTTTATTATGTTGACCTTTCAGCCGTGCCTGGTTAAAAATACAGAAGTTATAATGACATGGTACACATGCACATATGTTACTATTTCAATAATATGAAACTGATCTTTAGCCTTTACAAAATGAACTTTCTTTGCTGTGTTTTAGTGGACTAATATTTTGTAAAATACAGTCAATTTTCATTTATTATACATATTGTATGTATATACATTGTTACTATTTACAAATAAGTTCTTAAACTTATTTTACTTAAAAATAAGTGTGTAAAAAACTTTTACATCAAAAACCTACTGGGATAAATAGATAGAACAAAAACAACATTGCACCTTGAGTTATAGTGACAAATGCTTAAAATTGCTTCACCCACATACATACATACACACACACACACACACACACACACACACACACACACACACATATATATATCTTTCCAACCTAATGAATGGCACAGCATATTAATGGATAGACACGCGACAGTTTCTAAAGGTAAAGTATATACTTTATATAGGTATGACATAAACAAGTAAACAAACAAGAGTATTAAAACATTATGAATATTAAAATGAAATAGGGATCTTACTACACAAAATGCTGAAACAAGAATTAACATCACAAATTTATAAAATTTGATCCATATTTTGGCATCTTTGTACACTTATCTGTAGGCCAAAGTAAGGATTTAATTTTATAAATTTGTGATTGTGGTTTTAATTTATGTTTCAGTACTTTTTGTAGCAAGATCCCTACTTCATTTTAAAATTCATGATTTTTGATAGTATTTTATATGTATTGTGTCAGTGTTTAATGCTGATTTACCAGTTTATATCTCCAGAAATAAGATGTTTAGAGTTGATGAGTCATAAGAGTATTGAGAAGTTTTTCTACAGAAACTTGTAAATCACGTTTTCTTACTTACATGTATAACAGCATGCCAAAAGTTCAACCATATGACTGTGATGATAAACAAACTCTACCAGACATTTCCTATGGACGAAATTCTAACTTCCCATCCGCTTCCAGTGCTGTAGATGTTCAATGTAATAAGGAAAAAGGACGTCATGTGGTGGTTGGTGTTAAAGCATTTTATTGTTTTAACTCGTATTATTTTTCCGTATTTGTTATTATCTTCATTTTTGTTAAATTTGTTGAAAGTGTTTTATATTATATTTCATATATTCCATATTAGATTTTCCTTTTTATAACTTATAGCTGTAAAAATCTATTACTTTTGTATTGAAATTTTTACTATTCTGTTAGAAAAGTAAAGCTTTAAATTCAAGTATTGTTTTTAATAATATTGTGAAAATATCAGTTTGAAATATTTACATATCTCCCTGTGGGTCAATTGTAAGTTTATGAACTTACAATGCTAAAATCCAGGATTCAATTCCCTGTGGTGGAGATAGCCCTTTGTGAAGCTTTGCATTGAAATGAGAACAATTTTCAATAGCTAAGAAAATTGATTTAATCAGAATTTCATGGATATCGAGATATATGAGTATACCTATTCAGCTAGGTATTTTTTTTAAAATATTTATTTAAGTGGTTGCATATCTTATTAAGATATCCCTTTGTTATGGCAAAAGTGGGAAAACTTTTGATAAAGTAAACAGAAAATACTGATATATATAACTTTATTGTTATAAAACATTGCTTAGAAATGACATTGTACCTTTCTACAAATAGTGAAATCAATATGTTTGTTTATAGTTTATGTTGCTTTACTTATGTGGGGATCTTTTACTTTAACTAATCTTTAACTTTAATCAATTTATCATTACTTAGAGGGAAGTGTTGAAATAAAGTGATTTAAAATATGTTTTTACATCTATAGACATGAGTTACCCATGATTTGGAAAACATAACTTTTTCAAGAAGTACCCAAATATTATTCTCAATTAGACTTTTTTGATATTAGCTCATGTGGTAGAAAAGGATTATATTATTGATTAAGATTTTAATTGTTTTTTTTTTTTGGTACCTTGTAAATATTTCTGTTTTGTTTTTATAGTAAAGTTTTGGGTTCAAATAAAAGAGTTTTCACAATAGCTAATAATAAATTAGTTAGTGTATCTGGGCTTGACATTAACAATAACCCAGTACGAGTAAGAAATGCATTTGGATTAGTTGCTGAGATGACACACTAGACTGTTGGTGCTATTGGCTTAATGTTGAGTTTTTGACATACTCACACATTTCACTGAGATGCTCAAATTGTTTATTTCTGAAAACAGAAAATGAATTAATTTAACAGCCAATATGATTTTTTTTTCTTGTTCTTGCTCAGGGTACAGTAATTAGTTTTTCTTTGTACCCATTGGTTTTAGCTGTGAGGGTGATATAATGTGATGGTTAATCCCACTATTTGTTGTAAAAAGAGTAGCCCAAGAGTTGGCAGTAGGTGGTGATGACTAGCTGCCTTCCCTCTAGTCTTTCACTGCTAAATTATGGATGGCTGGCTAGTATAGATAGCCCTTGTGTAGCTTTGCACGAAATTCAAAGCAAACCAAACTTTGTACTCATTGACATTGTTTAAAGTCTTTGGATGTATGTATATTATACTTGTAATATTTAATCTATTTAACAATTTATTAAACAGATTACATATTGTTTAATAATTACTTAGAGTATTAGATTTGAACAATTTAATGGTTTATTTAGTATGTTTGTAACTATAAGCTTTGAAAATATTACAGTATACAAATGTCATTTAATAACTTGTATTTTAATATATGATTAGGTTAAGGACTTGTCTGTATAAGTGAAAATAGTCGAGTTATTAATTTAATCTAATTTTACTTTCCAACTGCTAAAACAATAAAAATTTGTTTTATATTAATTGTGATCATTGTACATTTAATTTTTTTGTAAAATGTTTCAGCTACAATTACATCTTCAATTTTTAAGGGCTTTTGCATGACATGCCATTCTATAATTATAACACTTACATAAGAGTTGAAACTTATAGTAAAGGTTGATTATTGTGTTTTATTCAGCAGTTGGAAATATGCTCTATGTTAACATGTTAATGGCTTTCACAGAAAACTCTACAGCCTTGTGATTCACAGTATTTGTGAATTAGTTTTTGAAATCAAATGTACAATAATAAGATTACATCTTCATGTTTTATGTACATATTCTTTTATTAATTACAAATTTCTGTGTGACTAACCCCTGGCTGTTGACCAGTTGTAGACACTATCATTTTCAAAATAAATTGTGGCTTGAAATGTTAATAAATGTTATTTATTTGTTATCTGTTGAATGATGTTTTTACTTTTTTGTTTTCTTAGGCAAACCGAATGTTGTCTGCTGGTGATACGATTTTTGTGGAAACACCTTATGCCTCTGTTTTATTACCCAATTTTTATACAACAAATTGTCACCACTGCTATGATAAACTGGTTACAGCAGTTCCGTGAGTAATTTTTTCTTCTTTTAATACTTGTAAAAATTACTTGTTTTTTCTTTTAGTCTATGCAGATAAATATAACTAACTTTTCCATCTTCAAAAATATTTGCATACAGGCAAATATGCAGCACCAAATAACTGTGATGTAACAACATAAGAAGTAAAAACAAGTTTACATGTAAAAATGGCTCCACTGACAATAGAGACAAAACAATGAAAAAATTATGCTCTTTTTTTAAAGAAATAAAAATGGTATAATCTCGAAAGGAAAATTTCTGATGTGACAACTCATGAAAGCATGGCCAATATCCTATATATCAGACAATCCAAAACGTCACTGATGAAATACAAGTAGAGGTTAGGGTTAGGTACTAAAACTCATTTATTTGTCAACTTATTGTTTACCAGGAAACTAAAATTGCTCTTTCTATTTATGAAAAGAATTCCCTGCTGGAAATTCCAATAACTGTTGACTAACATTGTACTTGGAGACATGTAGCTAGTCACTTGCTAGAAAGCCAATGCTGACCAGCATTTGCAGGTTACTTGCTGGAAACTCATTGTCAACCAACATGTGTGGTTACCTGTTGGAGAGTCAGTGTCATCTAGCAACTGGTCACTTGCTGAAGAGCCAGTGTTAACCAACAGCTGGTCATTTGCTCAAGTGCCAGTGTCAACCAACATGCTTAGTCATCTATTGGAGAGATGTGTCAAACAGCAGCTGGTCAATTCTTGGAGAGCAGATGTCATCTAGCATGTATTGCTTTCTTACTGATGACACAGTATTGACAGCATATGCTGGTTACTCTTTCTCTATATTAGACAGTTCAGGTTGGTCACTTCCTTCGGAATCCATGATAGGTCTGAATTTGTTTTATAGGTATACAATGTGATCTTTCCATTATTTTCAGGTTTGAAATTTCCTTTTGACTATGCAGTTAAATTTAGAAATAATAAGGTACTTAAGAGTGAAAAACATAAAACAGTTTTGAAAAATGACATTATTTGACTAAAAATGAACAAAATAACCATTCACGTGTAGGTCATATAACAACTTATGGTAGAATACCACTTTCTCAACAGAATATTGTTCAAACATCTGTGACACAAAACAAAGTTGATGTCTCTTCTATATACTTGCTCTTATGATGTTAGAAAAACATGTATGTTAAAGTAATCAATTTATCTCCATCTCGATGGGTCACGTGTCAAAGGCCTTGTCATCGCGTTTGTTGACTTTCATTCAAAATAAGTTGGTTATCATATAGTAGATTATAATTCAAATTTTGGAATTATACATTATTTAGAGTCTTAATTTAAAAGTAAATATTAAAAAATGCATCTAAACATCAATTTTTGTGTGTCACGTGGTATGTTGAATGCAACACTGCTTCAAATTAGATGTTTGTGATGTCAAAATACAAAATCTACAGTTTCGTACTAATTAGGAACTCAAACTATCAATATTGAGAAGCAAGAATATAAAATAAGAACATCTTATCTTTTCTATTTGCTAAGATATCACTTCTGTACTGGATCAAAAATAGTGGCCCCCACCCACCTCTTTCCATTTTTGGAAATGGTCCCTTATGTACATTTACTTCTATATATGACTTGAATAACCAATCAAAAGCTCAGAATTTCCACCCTAGTTCTTTTTGTCAGTCAATCTGAAGTGTTATTGTGCTAATTTCGTTCTTTTCACACAAGATTTCAAATGATGAGTGAGCTTTAGTGAGCTCAATTTCATATTGTTTTAGACCCAAATACAGCTTAGTTACTATGCTTGATAAATTGTAGTGGAATTCTATGGTATTGATATAGTAATTTGTGATTTTCTGGTTATTTAAAATGTATATATAAAAACCTAAAAAAAATTTTCTTTTCATATCCTCCATGTAGGAAATTTCATAAGACTTAGCAACCTACGACAAATGGCAAGCAACTATAGAGGTCGTAACTAGAAAAGATAATTGTTTGCTTTACTTCTTTATTTACTGTTCTATGTTTTAGAAAAAAAAATAAGTTTAAGAACTTATTTGTAAATAGAAATAATGTATATACATATATAATGTATTATAATGGAAATGTGAGTGTATTTTATAATATACTGCTTCACTAGAACACAGACAAGACAGGTCACTTTATAAAGACTAAAGGTCAGTTATATATTATTGGGTATGGTAACATGAGTGCACGTTTGCTGCATCATTGTAACTTCTGTATTGTTAGCCAGGAACAGGAAGGTCAATATTATAAAAATAATATATATATATATAAATGTATAATGTTATGAGATTTAAGGTTTTTTAGACTAACAATTTGTGTTTTTGTGTTATCATTTGTAGTAATTCTAGAATGAAAAAAGTATAATTTATATTTTTTTCCTAATTTTGTATTGAAGTTACGAAGTTGGTAAAATTGAACCGACCCATACAGAAATACAGTAGTGAAAATAACAAATAAAATATAAAGTTTTTTCTACAAAAAATATGATAATTATCTGGAGATTATTAAGATTTTGCTTGTGAAATTTGAAAATGTTCTAATGCATTAAAGTATTTTTAATCTTAAAATCAAAATAGCTTTACATGTTGGATAGTCAACAATCTGAAAGAATAAGGTTTATGAGAAAATCTTTAATTAAAAAAATCGTAATACTTAATTTAAAAACCAAATATTTTATGTACAAAAACCTTGTAATGTTTACCAATAACCTGCAAAATTTTCTAAATATGTGCATATATTAACAAAAATCAAAATATAATTACTCTCATGGATACTTTCGTGGTTATGAGCTTGGTGGATTTCACCCAGCCCGTAATTAAGGGTTAACACAAAAGGTACAATATCCTATAACCTAAATGCTATTGAAAGATGGACCTTTCAAAAGCTCTCAGGTTATAGGGTATCATATCTTTGTGTACGTGCTTTTTATTTTCATTAAACCCCTTTATTGATATCAATAATTCTCTGTTATAATGTCCAAGTAGTTTTTGAAATAAAATAATAAAAAAAATTTTATTAGTCGCAATTTCAAGTAACTTCTGTCCTTATGTTTCTAATTTTAAAGTGATAACTGTTTTTTATTTAAATAATAGTATAGCATCTCTTAATGGTCAATAAAGTGTTATGTAAAAACACTGAGAGAAAACAACAACAAAAAAAGCAGTACAGCACTTCAATTTTGAATATACTTACTTTATCAGACAAAAACTGCAATCTCATTACTCACCCAATGAAAAATTACAAATTAGTTTAAACTTCATAATAGTAAGAATTAACAGTCTGTAGCCAGGCATTTTGTATGTTTTCTAATCAAATTTAATTTGGGTGGAAGAAAACCCTAGTTCACCTATTACTCATAATTATTATTTGTGTTTTAAATTGTAGCTTTTCATTGATGAATCTTTTCAAGTAAAACTATTTGCAAATTAATTAGTTTTTTAATATTTTACACATTATAAAAAAGAAGAAACAATAAACCTAAATTAAAATGGTTTAATTTTGTATGAACTTAGATTTTGTTTGACATACCAATATTTTGAGCTTTCTTATGACAAGTTTCTTCAAACTAACTCTCAACATACCTGTGTTGATTCAACAAATTTGAATAAACACATTTTATTCATAACAGCTGTTGTATGAATTTTTTTATTGCATTACAAAAAAATCTACTGAATGATATACTTTGAAACTTCAGGTGAACTTTATACAGATATTTAGCTAATACAAATAAAATATTTTGATGTGACATTTGTATAATTTGCAGCTGTGAAAATTCTAAAAGATTTTGTTGTGTTTTTAAGAAACAGTTAAAAATGTTTACCTTTGCTGTAAACTTTAATTACAGGTTTTAAATGTTGTCATGTAAAACTTTCCTGATAAGTTGTTATTTCATAAAACACAAAATTATCTTTGTTTTGTTTCCAAATCCACTGCATGCAGTTTCTCTGTTTACAATCACTTGTGTATAGTGAAAATAATTTGTTTACCATACAAAAATTATAAATTGTTGTTCTGTAGGTTTCATTTAATATATATATAATAATTTTTAAACTTCTTTTATATTCATACAGATATAGCTTTCTTACATTTCTTTTTGGTGGTTCTTTTTTGTCCAGGTGTCAACATTGCCTAATACAGTAGTATTGTCATCAAAACAAAACTTGATATAGTTAGCATAAAATCATTAAACCTACTTTTTCTTCTTCCACATTAACCTTTTCTCTTATACTGCATGAAGTACAAAATGATAAAGCTTTTTTGCAAGCTTTAATAAGAAATGCAGGACTAACTGTGTTAGAAGTTGTTCACAATCATCTTTTCTTTTAGCAAAATGTCACCAAGCTAAACCTTTATCACTTTCTTCCTATTTGTATGCAAACATCCACTGAAAAAAAAAGCTTTCTTTACATATTTAGATTATTAACTCCTAATTTCTTAAAGCTGAGATACAGACAATTAAATCACACAATGAGAAACAATGAATAGTTAAAATTTATAAACTCTACTTGTATTGAGGTTATAAAGTCAGATTAGTGTTATTTTGTTCAAACCTATTTGGAATCTCCTCCTAGGGGGATTTTATTGCTGTGTTATGATCAATAAACGTTTAGAAAATTCATAAATACTAATGTTTTCATATTCAAATATATTGAGAAATGACTACACAAATATTCTGCAAACTATTTTAATTTAATGGTGTAGTTTTGCCCTTGATGCACCCATCCAGGAATGAGTTAAATTATGCAAAATAGATAAATTATAATAACATATTAAAATATCTTGTTTATGATTTAGTTGAATTTATATTACATTGATATCATTTTGCAGTAACATTGAAATAGAAGATAAAAACAGAAAAATGTTGTTGAACATTTTAAATGTAAATTATATGATGATCTACGTTTGCCTTTCATAAAACATAAGAATGTTCAAGATGATGAAGTATTTCCTGTTAAATCATAACAACCTGTATTTTGTATAAAACTAATAGGGTATTT